AAATTCCTCTTCATTATATTAAAGGTGTGTGTTTTCTCCTTATAAGTTAAAAATTATGTCAAATCTCCTTGTAGTAAGTGTTGGCCAGCTGACGCTCCCTAACTTGTGTCTGAGTGACAACACCGTTACATATTTGTCAAAATTCGTTATGTCCCCGTCATTTAAATTGGAGAACTGGTTGTCTCTTCAATTTTTCTCTCGTTCTCCAAAAGGTGAAAACCCTAATTTTATAAAGAAAAAAAAAATAAGATCTCAAATTCAGGGGCAGACAGGTGGCATCTATGCGTATGAGTTATGGCTGAAGAGGAGTTCTCCCAAGAATATGTGACTCCATTCACCGCCGCCACAGGAGTTCTCCCTCGATCTGTACGGCGGCAGGGACATCATCAGGAATGGCGCAGACCTTGTTGCCTAGGTCGTCGACAGAGGTGATGAACTTGAGGGAGCCCATGGTCTCCTCGATCGAGACGTCGGCGTCAGAACGGAAGGGGAGCTCCAGCACCTTCGCAAAGGCCTTGCGGTGGAGATGGAGGCGAGCATCATGGACGGTCGCGGTCGGCGATGCGGCGCCGCCTCCGCCGTCACCACCGTGAAAAACCCCATATCAACGGCTCGCCTCGTCCGAAGTATTTCACCTCAACCAGTGCTGAAGGAGCTCCGACGGTCTCTCCCTGTTCAGATCCAAGATCCTACAACGCACTGGAAATTCCATTGAAATTAGGGGATGGAACTTTAGATTTTGTTTTAGATCTAGGGTTTTGAATGAAATTTGGGGGTGGGACCTGACATCCGGACAGTTCAGTGGACAAGGGGGCGATGAACTCGATGATGAGGGCTTGGTAGAAGGACCAGAGCTTGAGCTCGGCGACGTCAAGCAGCAGTGCCGGAGGAGATACGATTTTTAATTTTTGTATATTTTGTTTTTTTTTTTTTATTNGATTGAAGATGAACTAAGAATATTTTTGGAGTTTTGTTTTTTTTAATGTACAAAATAGTAAATTTTAATTTTAAAATTAAAAAATATAAGATAAAAATGAATAATTATTGCAATACAGGCATGTGTACTGCACGCGCTGTTAAGTTGGACGAAGAGGGGGGTATCGTGCTACCAATAGTTAAATACAATGGGGTTTGACGCAACTTTTAAAATACCAGGGAAAAACGCGCAGTTTCATATAATACAAGGGGATAGCGTATATTTTACCCTTAAAAAAACGTTCAGAACGAGTTTTTTTGGTTAAACAAGGTTAATTTTGAAAAAATGATATAGTTAATTGTTATTGGAATTTTAATTTTATATTAGAATAATATTTAAAATAAAATAATTAAAATTGTTTTGATATAAAAGTAAGAGAGAGATGATATAAAGTGATGGTTAATTAAAATTATGTGAGTGGATGAATAGTAAATTAAAGTTGACGTGATGTGTAAAAATGATTAGTTTGTATTATGTTAAGCTAATTTTGGTAATTAGATATTTGATTTGATCTTAATTTGATTTGATCTTGATTTGTTTTTTATCTCTTTCAACCTCTATATATTGGATGTAATCTCACTATTACAAGCAATGGAAAATACACATCTTTCTTCTCTCTACTCTATGCATTCTCTCTTAGTTTTAGCATGGTATCAGAGCCATGATTTTTCACCACCGCTGTTCTGATTAATATATTTTTTTTCTTTTCTTTTATTTCTTCAGTCATGTCTTCTTCTCTCCTGACTGCTCTCTGGGCAGGAAAAAAAAATTGGTTCTTAGATGGTTCAAATCTCCTCCATTAGATGGGTTCTTAGATGATTAAATACAATTGATCAAGTCCTTTGGTCCTCTGTCCTTCAGTCCTTCGGTCCTTTGGATATTAAATACAATTGATCATGTCCTCGTTCCTTTAGTCCCCTGTCCTTCATTCCTTCAATCCTTCGGTCTTTCAGTCCTCTTATTTCTCCTAATTATGTTTCTACCAAAGCACAGCTAGCAGACATCTTCACAAAGGCATTGGGTGGCCATGATTTCTCGGTATACGCAAGTTGGGCATTCGAAATCTTCATGCACTAACTTGAGGGGGGTGTTAAGCTAATTTTGGTAATTAGATATTTGATTTGATCATGATTTGTTTTTTATCTCTTGCAACCTCTATCTATTGGATGTAATATCACTATTACAAGCAATGGAAAATGCACATCTTTCTTTTCTCTACTCTATTCATTTTCTCTTAGTTTTAGCATATTATTTAATTATAAGATAATATTAAGGATAGTGGGGTTGGGTTTAAGTTGAGTTAGATTTGAGTATGAATTGAGTATGGAATGGAAATTTCCATGGTTTTCAGAATAGGACCGGATCGGACGGTCCAACCGGTTGAACCGGGAACCAGCCAATTCACCGGTTCGGTTCTCTAGAACGAACCTCTATAAACAAAACCGGTTAAAACTCGGTCAACAGCCGGTTGAACTGGTCAAAACTGGATAAAATCGGCAAAAAACTGGTTGGTTCAACCGGTCAGGTTTTTTTTCATATGCCAAGTAAATAAATTCTAACACATTTATAAAGCAGCTCATCTATTATGTTAACCAATGTGGGACAAGTAGGCAGTAAGAATTCCCACTATTATGCCTTGTCCAGCGTGGGAAGACATTACTTTTTCCATAGTTGTTCTTATTATTTTATTGTTTAAAATGGGAGTGAGAGGAAATTTTCTTTTTTTCCATATTTTTATCCTATTATTTGTATTGCTTCATCTATATATGACTGGACCAATCTTTTAAAAAATAAGTCAATTATATTTAATATTTAAATATTATATATTTTATAATATCAATAAATTAAAAACTTAAAAATTAAGTTAACCATATTTATGAAATATTATATATTTAAAAATATCAATAAATTAAATAACGGTCCAACCGGTTCAACCACTGGTCGAGCCAGTGAACCATTGAACTAGTAGCTTGAACAGTTCGATGACCGGTTTGGTTTTGAGAACATTGGAAATTTTCATATACAAACACACTATTAAAAAACAGGCGGTCGATGCCGCCCAAACAGGTGCTGCTCATTTTTGCTCTTAATCGATTACATGCTGCCATATGGAAAAGCCTTTAATTTGTTTTTTGTTATATTGTATAATTTAAATGTTATATTACTTATTTAAGTAATGGTTATTTATTTTTGTATTTTTTATTAATTTTTATAATTTAAATGTTATATTTTCTTATTTGAGAACATTGGAAATTTCCATATACTACACACTATTAAAAATCAGGCGGTCGATGCCGCCCATACAGGTTCTGCTCATTTTTGCTCTTAATCGATTACATGCTACCATATGGAAAAGCCCTTAATTTGTTTTTGTTATATCGCATAATTTAAATGTTATATGTTCTTATTTAAGTAATGGTTATATATTTTTGTATTTTTTTTTATTAATTTTTATAATTTTTCTTAACTCTTTATCATCATTTTATTATAAAATTCTAAACTTGTAGTTTCACTTAACATATCAAATCTTATTATATCTAATTTTACTATTTTAATTTCCCATTCAATATTTATATAAGTATTTCTAAGAATGATTAATCTTATTATTATTTTTTTTTTTGTTTTTGTCTCATTTTTTAGGATTTGTCTGTCTTGCTCTAGTACCATTTTTATATTATTGTTTTAGGTGGTCCTATTTTAATTATTTTTCTAAGTTTCGTGTATAATTTTGTATATTATAATCTAACTGTTTTAATTTTGTTCATCTTTTTATATGTATTTATATTGAATTACTTTTTAAATTAATTAATTTCTTTCATTAGTTTCTTTTCTTTTTATTTCATATAATTCAATATTTATACCTCTCATATTTATATCCTTATTATTCTAAATTTTTTTTATTTAAATTTATTATTAATGAACTTAACTTGTTTATTTAATTTTTCTATCTATGTGTTCTTCTTATATAAACTACTACTGCTATGTGGTTCTTCATTTTCTCGTATTCTTACTAAATTCTTTTCAAGAAGTTTTTCTAAACTAGTGGGATTACTGAATGATCGCCTACTATCTTCTCTTAAAAAATCGTTTTGGATTATATCATTTTTAATAATAGTACCTGTTTCATTGAATATTTTTTCTGTGCGTATTCTTTCTTGATTTTGATAGTGCATACTTTAACTACTATTACTTAATGTGGGTCATTCTATAACAAACAACCATAAGTATAACCCATAATTCTATTAATGGTTTTTCTTGAAAATTACATATTAATCCTATGCAGTTATTAAATTTCTTGGTTAATAATAGTATAGGAAATTATAATAATATATTAAACTTAATTACTCTATACCCTAAATCTATTTCTACTTCTCCTAACCTTTTTTATTATTTATGCATAATTCTATTATCTTCAACTTTAATATTTACGTGTGTTTTTATTCCTTCTCAAAACGATGATCGTAATATTATTTGTATTGTATTTATGTGTATAAAACCTACCTTTTTTATGTCTCCTTCTTTTATTTTTTTCTACTCTCCTTTATATTTGATTTATTTCAACTAAGGGTGCTTGAAAATTATAATTTGCTTGTTCTATCTTAATTGGTGCTCTCCGTTTATTATTCTGTAATGTATCATATTTTTTTCTATTTAATATTTCTAATAGACCATTATTTATTCCTTCTTTCTTTTCTAAATCTAGATTTCCTTTATTTTGTGCTTTTGTTATGAGCTTCTTCCCTAATAATATGTGCGATAAGTAAATTTATTGTTCCACTGTTTTATCTATAGTCTGGTATTTGTTTTCCATTATTTAATTTTGACTATCTAATTTGGATTTGTTCTTATTTATAGGTCTATCGTATTTGGGTAAATAGATTATTTTTATAATATGTTTAATATCTAAGTTCCTTGTGTCTCGTATTATTTTTTATTTCATTTTCAACTTAGATTAGCATTCATTAATACTTCAATCATTTGTAAAGACACATAATAATTCGTTTTTTATTCTTAATGACTTTGAAAAGGGTGTTTTATGAGTTTAAATGTAAGCAAGAGTACAAATAGAATGATAATAACATACCTTTGATCATTTCTTATTTCCAACACAACTTGACTTGATCTTTTTGGCATTCAACACCCACGATCTCTTCAGCCATCTATTCAGTGCTCTAGAAAATATTCGTTGAGAATATTTTTGTATATTATTCCATTCTTATATTTTACTCTTACTTGCTAATTACTTAGTTGCTCATGAATATCAAAACACACATAATTTATAAAAGAAATATTTTACAATGCTAAGTTTGTTTCTAAGTGCAATACCTTCCAAATGGAATAGCTAGCTTATTTGTAGGCAGAACAAGTCCTCTGCCTGGTGAAGCAATGATGGGTGTCAAATCCAACAATAATAAAATCCTGCTTCTAGTGGTAAGCAAGGTCGTATCCACAGGGATTGACTAGATAGATTATTGATGCAACTATTCGTGAAAGAAATAAAAATAAAAATGATGGTGGGTTTTGATGATTTTATCTAACTTAGAAAATAAAATAAAATTTAACTAGAGACGAAAAGAAAACGAGTGATTCAAATAGAGAAAATATCCAACCAAAGGAAAAGATTATAGAACTGGAGCAACGATTCGATCACGGATGCAAAGATAATTCTCCTATTCTCGACTAAACTGGTTATGGTTATTGGTACGACCTAATAACCTATCCTTCCTTACTTGTTTGATAATCAGGATACAATCTCTAATTATTTCTAGAATCAACAGACAACCCAAGATACGTATTAGGATATGTTGTAAAAGCTTGGCTTTCAGATATTAAACTTTCCATCTTGATCTGGCAATCATGTTTTAGTCAAAGTACTTATGTTTGCAGTTTATTTATTTATGCAATCATAACTCCTTTATTTTACATTGT